TACAACTCGAGTATACTCGAGTACAATCGCAAAAAGGCCTCTCTTGACGCGTGTTTGGTGAGAAACTTGCCCCCGTACACGGCCAAGTTTGATAGTTTGTGTGAGATCCAATAAATGATTGGCAATTGCAAATTCGACTGAAACACTCAAGGACATTATTCTCTCACCTGCCTTCTGATGCCCTTTTGCAGTGAGATCGTGCCACCTTTGGAGGCAAAAAAAAACTCAAACAACGAGTTGTCTTAATTTAAAATCGATTGATCCTTGTCCGATGCTTTTCAATTTGTTTGTATTCTTGGAGTTCAAGTGTCGGCCAGAGAGTCTTGGGGCGCGAATGAAAAGGAAGAAAGATCTGAAGGAAAAAAAAGGACACGAAAGGTCAGATTGAAAGAACATCAAAAACAAAAGAAAAAACAGGTCTAAAGTCTAAAGAACATCAAGAACATAAGAAAACTCTAAAGAAAACAACTAAGATCAAAACGTCGAAGAGGACATATGAAAAGAAGGACACTTCTCCACATGGTGGCAGTTTCTTGGACTCCGACCTGCTGAGCACCTCATGGAGAAGGCCCTGGATATTGCCACGTTCCCACCTCGAACAATGCGCAGGCCCTTCCCTTCCTTTTGTTCCTCTCTAAATGCAAAATGCAAAAGAAAACATGTGCGGACATCGTTGAATTGCTGGCATGCAAATTACCGTGCAACTGGCTAATGACTGCCGCTTGCTGGGGGTTGGACTTCTGAAGTGCTAGCTGAACTGCTTCTCGCCCTTGCCTCAGCCACTCAGCTCCAAAGACCGACACCGGGTGAACACACTAGGTGAATGAAACATGGGATGCCTCAAATCGGAATCGGGGGACTGAACTTCTCGCAACTGGAACACGTGTAGAAACCATTCATGGAACTGACTGGATCCTGCGGTTCTGCACCTGCATCCTGAAAGAGGATGATTTGTCGAAATGTCGGAAGATGAAGGTTTCTTTTGCTTTGGAAAATGTTACTAGGGGCTCCTGGCATCGCTACTAGGAGCAAGGACGCTACTAGTAAGAAGAAGACATGTTTCTTTTGAATATTTTGTTCGATTGGAGGCGATCGCTTCTAGGTTGGAGGCTCTGTCATCCTCAAGGACCTCTTCGCTCTGTCCCACCTCCCAAGGCACCAAACTCTTTGCCTCGCTGCCGACCACCAGCCTGTCAATCACGGCGCTTTCGCCGTAGTCCAGCATACATGATCATGCATATGATAATGCATATTCACATGTTTTGCTCTTGTCTCTGAGCTCTTTCAAAACAGAAGGACCTTTCTTCCTTTCCTTTTCTGTTCTTTTCTCTCCTAGTTTTAAGCAAATTCACCCTTTGAGACATGGACCCCACATGCCTCTGCTAGCCGTCGCCAGGCTACATGACATGTCTGTAGCAGCCCTACCTGGGACGCAAAGACATGTGACTCACCAAAGAACGGACACGTCGCTACTAGGGGCTCCTGGCCTTACTAGGAGCAGGGACGCTACTAGGAGCAAAGGGCCTTACTACTAGGAGCAAGGATGCTACTAGAAACAAGTGCATCGCTTCTAGTAACAAGTGCCTTACTAGTAGTAACAAGAACCGCAACGGTTGCAAGTCATTACCGCAAGTGGGCTGGTTTCGGTGGCGTGACTGAGCGCATCTGGCACGCTGTATTGAAGTGAACCGAAATTGTCCTGTATGGAGCGCAAACTGTGGTTTATGGTTCACACAAGTGTCAGCTCTACTCCCAAGTCTGAGTTTAAACAGCCCTTCGAAACTATCTGCGACATTGACCTGCTGACTAAGTGCAAACTGTTCAAAAGCAAACACCTAGCATATCCTGCACCACCAAATAACTGAGAGAGCCGTTCAGGATGTGCAGAGGTCTTGGCCCAGCTATAGTTTCCAAAAAAAGTAGAGAAACTCAAGATTTCAGCAGGCTGCACCCCCTGGCTAAAGTTAATGCTCGCGGTTGCTGTAACGGTGTAGCGCCTCGGCACCTTTTGGTTCGGGTACAGTAGATTTCCGCACGATTTCGGATTAAGCACACGGCTTCGGCTTCAACTTCCCAGGAAACTAGGAAGTTGCTCATCATTCTGACCTCAGAACGATCCCCAAGAAGCCGGACGAGAGTGAAATGCTGATGGTTTGGGTATCATGATGGTGTTTGTGCTTAAGCAACATGTACAATAAACGCAATCATCCAAATGACAACCATTATATAACTAGGCATGCCTGGGAATGGACGCGCGCAGCGATCACATTCCTTATGACATGCTCTCCTTCTGTGACCAAGCGTGATCAACCAAACTGATTAGGCACTAGTCGCATCTGGTCGCTAGGCCTAAAACCTTCCTCCCAGTCTTGCTCTCGCTCGCTTGCTCCATCTCTCTCTCACTTTGACGCGCTCGCCATCTAAGCCCCCAGCTCTTCGACCACGTATCACGGCCACTTTGTGCCACCTTGGCGCAGCCCAAGCTCATTCTTTGAACATCCAAATGATCAAGTTGGTCGAAAAAGCACTCATATATGATAATATGCTTACATAGCCACCTAATTACGGTAGTATAGTACGAATGTCGTGTTTCCGCACCATTCCTGTTGACTGAATATGTCACAAGGACATGCAAGGATACTGAGAGACAAGCTGGCTGACCACTTCATGCAAAAGTCCGTTGGTATCACCGCGCTCCCACCTGCTCATGAGGAATATATAATGGATACGCAAAGCATCGCAAAGCTGTCTGCGAAAGCATTTAGCAAAAACTTTGATTGTTCACTGAAAAATTATCCTTGGTGCACCCTCGCAGCTTCTGAATATCCCAAGAGCTGCCTGATGATCTCCTTTACACTGCTCCGACTGTCCAGTCGAACAACATCGCAGGTGAGGACACTTTCATTTCTTTCTACGCTTCCTCATCACCTCCGCCCCCCTTTTGACACAAAGCGCACTTTTGTAACGCGAGCTTCACTGCTTCTTTGCCATTCCTGAGTGCACGGAAGATGAGCTCAATAGGACTCTCGATCCCTTGGCGGCCACCGCTTTGTTCCGGGGCGCCGGCTGCCGTAATCGATCATTCGCCCGGGCCTCAAAAACATCATCTGTCTTCTGTCCCAAGTAGTAGCATCCTTGTTCCTAGTAGTACGGCCAGGAGCCCCTAGTAGCTTCTTGCTCCTAGTAAGATGCCCTTTGCTCCTAGTAGCGTCCTTGCTCCTACAATAGGAAATGCATAGAATTCGTCCATTTCAAAATGTTGCCAACCCTAACTTCTTGCGCTTCTTGCTGGGCTCATCACATCCACCAGTCTCTTCCACGCCGCTGTGCAGGTCTTGACTATCCCGACCTGGGCAATGCAAAACATTGGGGAAACCTCTGGTGCATGGGTCCTCTTCTCACAAACGCTCCATTCCTAGTCAGAATCCTGGATCCTGGTTAGATTGAGTGGTGCAGGTGAAGCTCCCTGATTTCACTTGGTCCTTGACGCCGGTTTCTTGTTCCCATGCCACCAAGCTCTTCTTGACCATGTCAACCTGGTGCTGTAAAAGCTAAAGCGAATAGCACACTCTTCCTGGTTACTGCGCCACCTTCGCTATCCGCTATCATTGCTTCTTCCACACACTCTCTCTCTCTCTCTCGCTGTGACGGCCCATGCGTCCATCTCCGCGAAGATTCTGTTCCGTCATGGCGTTTCCACGACTTCTATTGGGTTCCCCTCCATCGTCTGGGTCGGTGAAGGCTGTGAAGGCGATGCGAAAAACTCAGCGCAGCACACGTTGCCGCCGCAAGACAGAGATTTTGAACCACCTTGGCGCCATGTGTTGCATTTAATCGAAAATACACAAATGTCATACTGACATCCAAGAGCAAAAGCCAACAACTTTTCGAAAGCTGGAGCCATGTTGCACAAACATTGAGCAAAGTGAATGAATGTGCATAATGTACACGAACCTCTCATAACCTATCTCTCATCTATATATAGATTCTTTTCTTCAGTCCAGTCCACACACACAAACACAAAAGAAAAGGGTTTGACAGGTTTGACATGGATTTAAGAAGAACAAGAACCGCCACCAGGCTGCAAACTTGTACAGAAAAAGGACCAGCAATCGGACAGGACGGAGCATTGACCCGGACCGTCGACAACCTGAGTGGTTAACGCTCGCCAAGCAGCTGTTCCAGCACCTCATGGGCCAGGCCTCTTGCATTGCCACGGAGGAACCTTGCCAATTCCAAACCGTGATAATAAGTAGGTTGGAGGCTATTGACCGAAGAGTGTGGGCACTGTGGACATGGTGCGAATTCCAAGTCATCATATTATATAAAGGAGGCATTGATCAATCCTAGTACCAGGGGCTGCTTTGTTGTGAACCTGAGTGGCACTGAAGCACCAACTTCTCTGAGCTGCAAACTTCTCCAAGGCCAACTTCACATTCTCCTTGCCGTGCCTGAAGCCAACTACGAGACGCACAAGAGCAGCAGCTTGCTGTTCAGAAGGCAGCCTAAAATCAGCTTCATTGTCCTTGAGATCGCAGCACCGATCTGGATAAACTTGCCCTGCTCTCTCTTTGAATAATCTACTGGATCTCTTTGTGTTTCATGACCTTTGGTGTCAAATGTGTCACGTTCTGCTTGCCGCTTTCCAAGGTGTCGGGCTCCCGCATGCGCTTTCTGACTGAAGCCTTGGTCCGCGAGTCATCGTGACCGTCGCCGCCGAATAAGTGCCCTCTTTGACAGCTCCTGGGTCACAAACATCTGCGAGCTTCTTCCAGGCCACGTGACAGGTGTGGAGCAAGCCAACCTGCCAAACTGCCCTTTCTTGCAATTCTTCCAGAAACAAAGATCACAACGCACAGAATAAGTAGGTTGGAGACCATCGCTATTAGGTTCGATCACTCTTGGCCTCAGCCTCCATTTCCCACTTCACCAGGTAGCTACTCATCAAGTATGCCTGGACTAACCGATCGGTGAAATCGTCTGGGGGCCGTCCAGCGGCGACAAGAAGCAAAATTGCTAACAAAGTGTCACAATCCTAGCGTCCTTGTTACTACTAGTAACAAGTGCCACGCTAGTAGTAACAAGTGCCTTACTAGTAGTAACAAAAAGCCATTAGAATTAAACTAAATTTAATTAAATAAATAGCTTCTTGTTTTGCTAACAAAGTGTCACAATCATGATACAGCGTCCTTGTTACTAGTACGGCCAGGAGCCCCTAGTAGCGTTCTTGCTCCAAGAAGCGATGCCCTTTGCTCCTAGTAGCGTCCGTGTTACTGCGTGTCACAATGTGTTACAGGCAAATTCATTGTCATCTATCATCTGTCACATCATGCGCCAGCAATAGGAGTGCGTTAAGAATCAGACTTGTCGCTTTCGGCCCACATATTGCTTGTGCCACCTGCAGCCGGTGTCAGGCCACTTCTCTCCAGCCAAAATGAGAAGACACGAACTTGTTGTGTTTTTTTTGAGGAAATGTGCTGCAACATGTGTCCGCTCGGCGGATTTTGCACACCACACTTGTCTGAGGCCCAAGCAGCCGCAGCACCTCCTGCAAAAGACCTTTGGTTGCACCGCGCGCCCACCTTGAAGCTCTCAAGGTCGACACTCAAGTTCCAATTTCCAATAGCATCCATTCCATGTCCATTTTCCATGTTTATTTAAACTAGATTTAATTCAAATTATTGTTTCTAATAGCGTCCTTGTTACTAGTACGGCCAGGAGCCCCTAGTAGCGTTCTTGCTCTAACTTGCTTTCTTTCCGAAATCTACTTCTCTTTTTCTTAGACCCTTTCGACAGAATGGGAACGGGACTTCATCAAGGCCAGCTGCACTGCTTCTCGGCGTCGCCTTGGAGATGCGACCGGGCAACATGGTGAGCCTCTCGTTTCACCGAACATGACGAATTGCTGGAAGGCTTGAAACGAGAAGGGGAATAACCTCATAAATAAAAGACAAAAGGGAACAACCCTTTTGAATCCGATAACATTTGATAAAGGAGCCCATAGGGACCCCGACCCAATGCGGCGCCTGCGAGCTCCCTCCTGGATGTGAAATGCTCGGCTCTTTGGTTCTCTTTGGTTTATCCAGCCCTTGGACTAGTAACAACGGCATTACTATTAGTAAGAAACTGGTAACAAGGGCATTGCTACTAGTAGCTAGAAGCTACTAGGAGCAAAGGGCATCGCTACTAGGAGCAAGAAACTACTAGTAGCTCCTGGCCATACTACTAGTAACAAGAAACCACTAGTAACAAGGGCATTACATCCGACTCTTTTCACCTCTTGGTCCCGGTATGCCACCAAAACAGATCGAAGCTTGGAAAAATCCGTGTCATGGTTTGCACCCATGGTGCGCCTTGGCTACAGCTCTCCATGCTTGCGAATAGGAGCTCAGGAGGCCCGCCTGGAAGTCTTGTTGAGAACATATCTTCCAACATGTTTCCAATTTTGGTTTCAAGAGCAAACTTGGTACCTTCGTAAGGACTTTCTTTTCGGTTCATCGGTCATCATTGCGAGGCGTGTTCTCCGTTCTTTTCACCCGTGACAAGTCGTCTGTTGAAACCCAAACGGCAAAGCAGTGCGCCCGGCGTTGGCTGAGCTTGGCTCAAAACAAGACATCGCGGCTGCGCTCGGCATCCAAATGGACTGGTTTCGTCCATTCGTCAGTCCTCAGCCGTTCAGAAGAGTTCCAATCCTTAGTTTTGGCAAAGCCTTTGCTACACTCTGGGCCTTCCTGAGCCTGAAGCTTCGTTGTGGCAACTCCCCACCAAGAGCCGGCATCCTACCTTTTCATCTCGCGTCTCACTTGTTCTTATCTTTGCTTTCTCGTCATTCACTATGTTCCCCGTGTTTTCACACACCTTCCTTTAGCTAGATGCTGCATCAAACTAAAAAAACACCAAATGCTTCAAGTGTCAGCGCCCTCACGGAAGATGAAATCATCTGAAGATCCAAGTGATGGCATTGATGGTGCTGCTCACCACACCCTCCGGCTCCAAAGGTTCGTGGTGAATCACAGGTGTCTCTGCGATCTCCTCTGGCTCGGAAAAACGACATAATGCGGAGTTTTTGCGCAAGAAATACGGCAACTTCTTTGCGTTTAAGATCGATTTTGCTCGTTCATGTTTAGAAGGCTTAGGCCATGACAACGGCAAGAGTTCTTCGAGGATCAAGGAACCCCCTTAAAAACTCCAAAAATATCCAAATTTTAACCTTTGGACATTCCTTTGGACCTTCATGGTTCTTTTCTTTCCTTCTGATCTACTGCTCTAGCCAATCATTCTATACAACCAACGGAGTGAACCTTTCTTGTTGGGCATTGTTGGGCAAAACTCAGTGTTCGCACCAGTAGGTTTGCAAGCAGCGAGCATTCACGCCGCAAGGGTCACCTACAGCTAGTGGCACCTTAATAGCACTAGCCACCCTCTTAGCTGAGAGATTTCCTCATAACGCCACCCGTCCAAGTTTATCATGCAGATTTGATAGCTTGCGCTTGGCCGATGACCTCCCAGACCTGAAACGTCACGCCGAGCCCGTTTTTCAGCTACATTTTTAGTACACCGGCCCGCCGAAGTCAAAGCAATTTCAGAAACCACGCCAGTTCCACATGAGACGCCGCGCATTCAGGAAGTCAAACAAGTCAATGCAAAAACATGTAGATCACCATCAGGACGCAGCTTGAACGCCTCAGAAAACTGTATTCCAGCATGTGGGCGCACATCCAACAATGATCAGGAAACAAAGGAAATGGCATGTTTCTTGACTGAGTTCACCATGGGACGCCGTATGATCCACTCCACCAAAGTGACGGTTCCGCAAAGCACTGATACTAATCCATGTGCATGCTCCAGTGTGGCTTCGTGATGGTTGTGGTTTGATCATTGGCTGACTTGAGCATGTGTCTTGAATCCCTACATAACCACAGCAACCAACTCTGTCGAGGATTTGTGGCAGCAGCCTGATTCAGGATTCCTTGCCGCGGCCTGATTCAGGATTTCTCGCTGCGGCCTGATTCAGGATTCCTCGCCGCAACCTCACCAGAAACTGAATGATCTAAATCAGGCTGCGGCAAGGAATCCTGAATCAGCTGCTGCTGCTGTTGCTGTGGCAAAATAGGGATTCAAGACACATGCTCAAGTAAGCAAATGGTCAAGCCACGGCCATCAAATGGATTTTGCAATATTCCCTTTCCTATGCAGCTGCCTTCGATGGCTGAGCCATGTACTGCAAAGACCTGTGCTTGCCATATATATAGGTCTGCAGCCAGTACCGGACGAGGTGGCGGACGAGGTACCAAAGTACATCCGCCACAGCTCCGCCATGACATGTCTCCACTCTTTTGATGCAGCCAAGCAGCAGCAAAAGACAAGCAGCAGCAGCCAAGCAGCCAAGCAGCAGCCAAGCAGCCAAGCAGCAGCAGCAGCAGCAGACAAGAAGCAGCAGGCAAGAAGCAGCAGAGAAGCAGCAGCAGACAAGCAGCAGTAAGGCAACAGACAAGCAGCAGCAGCAACAAACAAGCAGCAGCAGCAGCAACAGACAAGCAGCAGCAGCAGCAGCAGCCGTAGCGGACAAGCAGCAAACAAGCAGCAGCCAGGCAGCAGCAGCAGCAGCAGCAGACAAGAAGCAGCAGACAAGCAGCAGCAGACAAGAAGCAGCAGACAAGCAGCAGCAGACAAGCAGCAGCTGCAGCAGCAGCAGACAAGCAGCAGACAAGCAGCAGCAGCAGCAGACAAGCAGCAGCAGCAACAAACAAGCAGCAGCAGCAGCAACAGACAAGCAGAAGCAGCAACAACAGACAAGCAGCAGCAGCAGCAGCTGCAGCAGCAGCCGCAGCAGACAAGCAGCAAACAAGCAGCAGCCAGGCAGCAGCAGTAGCAGCAGGCTTCAATGCGCACAAAGCACACACAGGTACCACTTCCTCTACTTGAAGTAAGAACACCAACAGCGCTCGCTTTGTGACAACCAGTTTGCAACCTAGTGGCGGCTTTCTTGGATTTCTGGTGCGCACTATGTGCATGGAAAAGTCCTCTTCTGAGAAAAAGTCGATCTGCTAAACACCAGCAGGACGCAACTTTGCATCGACTTCCAAAAATCTTTCCCCAAGCTGGGACGCGCAAATTATCCAAACGCATCGACTTTCACATCTTGGAGTAGCACTAGTGAAAAGTAGCATGGCGCAGCACTAGTGAAAAGTATATGGGGTGAACAAGGAGTGGAGTGAGCAGACTCCATGAAAAATATGCAATATCTTGGAAGATATGGGAAAGCAAAGCCTCCCATGGTGCTTTGAAACCATGGATTTACCAGGGATTTCAAAAGGCGCTTGCCCGATTCATGGATCTGGACACAACAGACACGCACCTGTGGAAGCCCTTTTTCCACGCAGTTTTGCCAAAGCTTGGCTTACAATCTTTCCAAAGCATCGAAGTGACAGCCATTGATTGGTGTACAGCAACGCGAGATCATGCGAACTGGCTCGAAGATGCGTGTACGGTACTTCCACCTGACTGTCCTTGGCCACATTTTGGCGTCCCTCAAACAGAGCTGGTCCAGAACCAAGAAAACTTGGAAATCATTGACGCTGCTCTGGCCTCAACCTACGCCAGTGACCTGACTACAGATGTTTGGGCTCACCATTGCGAACGCCCGGTGCGCCAATCCCAAAATATCAAGTTCCCAGATGACATCTTTCTGTGTGGGTCTTGAGAAACCACAGGGTTCGGCCAAGAGACGTGAATGGGCCCACCCCCAAACAAACATTGAAGAAATCTGAAGAAAGGCACCGTTCCCTAAACCTTCTGTGGAAGGGTCCCACATAAGGGCCGCAAATCCCACATGGTATGCTGGAACGGTTTTGGATCATTGGGGGCGGTGATCCAACGAAACATCTTTCTGCGGAGGTGGATTGCCTCCCCGCCACGGTCCCAAGCCACGGGGCCCCCACATGGGTCCCAATAGCACCCAAAGCAGTCCCGCACAGCAGGCCCGGAAATGTATAAGTCCTGGAAATATGGTTTTTGGATTGGTTTGGGAGTGGTTTTGGATGGCTTGGGAGGCGGTGCCTTGCTGTTTGCTTGCCCATGGAAGGAGTGCCTGGCTGCTGGCCTCACCCGCTCACCTCTGCTTTGCCACTTGCCGGCTCGGCCTTGCTTGGCTTGGGGGGATGGTTGGCCGTGGTGGCTCGCTTGGACACTGTTCCCTTGGAAGGGGCACCGTCACGAGCGCACTAGCAGGCAAACTGCCGGGCTTGGACGCCGTTGCCTGGCTGGCTGGCTGGCTGGCTTGGAAGGAGTTTTGGTCGGCGTCTTCATTGGGCTGGGAGCTGGCGCTCTTCGAGGCGCACCTCCCGTGAGAGCCTTCTGCTTGGGCCTTGGACTGCTCAAGGGCTAGCTCCATCTGCCTCGTCTCCAGCTCGAGCAGCGATCTTTCGCCGCTTCTCTGCCGACGGCTTCAGCTCCCGTTTTGGAGGCGCCACTACCGTGGGTGGGTTTCTCCAACCTGGCCTCTGCGACCTCCGCGGCTCTACCTTTGTGGGGGGGCCCGACCAACCAACATTTAAGGCCACTTGACGATGGATTCCACAGGGTGGTTGTGGCAGCCATCCAGCTATACAAGTGCCGAAGCAACAAGCGCCAGTGGATACTCAAATGGGGACATCTTCAAAAAAACCGCGTCCGACCCGCTTTGCTTGACAGCTCCGCCGCGACTCCCGCAAGCACCTCACCATCATGGTGCACATCGTTCAGCAACACCTTCGGTCTTGCCACCCAACACGGCCAGGCTCGTGGTTGGAGCATTGATTCCTCGCTTCACTGGTGGCCGCGTGCGGGCACAGCTTCTGGACTGCCGACCGGAAAAGAAACACGAAGCTGCGCACCGAAGCTATTGGTGCGTTGTGGGACCCTCCTGGGCAACTCATGGGGGACCGTCCCTTATCGTGGGACCCTCCGGTCCTTCACGACCGACCGTGGGTGACCTTGGTGTCTACTGACCGAGAGTCTGCAAAGAATCCACCGCACGCCGCCGCCGTGACTGCGGACCACTGGTGGATGGTCAGCATCCCCACACGCTTCTTTTCTGGAAGGGGTTGGTGGGCCAACTGCGCTTGTTGTCTTCTCCTTCCGCTGGCTTGTGGCTGGCGTCCCAACACCACCACGACCTGTCTTGTGGCCACTGTCCAGCCTACTGTTCTTGCCATTGGCCTTGCTGTCCTGGCCATTGGCCCTGCCACCACTGTCCATTCCATTGCGCCGGCCACCACTCAGCACACATGGTGTGGATGCACGAGCGCTCTGAGATTCAGGACAAAACTTGAAGCATGTGGGCAAGCAATAAATGTCTCACATAAAGCGTGTCTCTCAAACTTGGTCCCACGATTCCGATTCAACTCCTGTGGGAAACCAGTGTTCTTTTGAGAAACCTACGTCTCCAAAGCTTACACTTATATTCAGCAACATCGCCAGAAAGGACGTTCAGAATGCTCACAGTTAGAGTTGTGAATTTTCAATCCCAATGCCTGGGGCTTGTTGGAAGATTCCTCCGCATCCCACTCCGTCGAGGAATGAGTCGAGCGCACAGGAAACGCGAGAGGTCAGCGGCATGGGGGGTCAAAACTGTGTGGAAGGTTTTTTTGATCTCCCTTGGTCAACATGTGCTCTGGCATTCTAGCTTCCCCTTGGGCAGGATGAGTAAATCTCGAATTGCCACCCCAAAAGATGATTGGTCATCAACACGAAGGGGGCCAAAACCTGGCATTCCCAGGGATGTTGACTCGTTGGACGGGGCTTTGTTCCAGCAAAGGCCAAATCCAACACCCTCTTGCCACCCTGCTGTATCCGGAAGAGTCCTGTCTCCTTTTGCTTGCTCTGCTTGATTGCGTTCTTTCCGACCTGCGGGCATTGCTCGGTCAGTGTTCAAGGGGTCGTCATCACTAGTTTGCCGTCCAAGCCGAACCGACACCTCCGAAAACCAATCTTTGCATGCCCAGGTCACCCTGGACTCTTATCCCAAGATCAAATGATCTCTAGAGACCCACACCACCGTGTCAGGAGGTTGAACACGGCCTTCTTGGAGTAGGTGTCCTTGAAGTCGATCTGCGAGTCTCCAGCATCCAAGCGCACGCCTCAATTGCACCATGGAGGTCACTTTCCACTTGGCTCTTGGAGCACTGCACAAGCTCAGTCCTTCGACGGACACAACGTGGGACCTAGATGTGGGACCCATGTCAGACCCAGCATGTGAGGAAAGCTTTCGAAATGAAGCTTCTATATCAAGCTCTTCCCGTAGAATTGAGCATCACCGGAGATCCAGCCAACGAAAGCTATACATTAAGGAGGGCACCAGCACCCGAGCATGGGTGGGACCCCAGCAGGGGAGCGTCGAAAACGGAACATGCGCCAACAATGTACGGCTGCCCAAAACCAGAGCGTGGGGCCGCAAAACTCCCTACATTGTTTTGCCGAGCTGCAACGCCTCCACTGCCAACTTCCGCTGCTGGAGTGTGGGAAGCTGCAGCAGCCATTGCTCGGCCGAAGCTGCTGCCACCGGCATCCCGGGAAAAGGTTGAGTATCAAGTGTCAAGTTCTATGTGGTGTCTGAACGCTTCCCAATGCCCTTCAGCTGCTTATCGGGTTACCTGTGGAATTGTTCTGCACACATCTCGTCCCGTCCCCTCCCGCCCCGTCCTGTCCCGTCCTCTGTCCCTCCACTCATCACACACCACTCATCTTACACCACTCCTCACACACCGCTCATCACAAGCGGTCGTGTGGCAGGCACAGTGCCCAGAGCCTTCAGGAGGACCAGCAGGACGCCTGGGCGCCGCTGGGCCGCGGTTGCCTTTCTTGTGGCAGGCGCAGGACACGGAGCCTTCAGGAGGAGCTGCGGGACGCGTGGGCGCTCAACTCAACTCAACTCAACTCATCTCTCTCTCTCTCTCTCTTTCTCTCTGGTGTTGTAGCTACACCCACACACTCTCTCTCTCTCTCTCTCACTCCCTCAATCATTCTCTCAATCATTCCCTGCTTATTCGTTCACATCGGTGTCTCTTTCATTCACTTTTATCGTCCAGTATTTTTCGGTCCTCTTTTATTCTCAGTCTCTACTTCTCGTTGCTAATTCTTACAAGCTTAACATGTGGGGTTATCCGGTCCTTTTGTTTTTGGGTCATTCAACCTGTGTTGGTGCGCGGTGCTTTGTACATGGGACCTCCCAATGGCACATGGACACCGCAGGCTTGCATATGAACGCCGCATCCTACAAGGGTCATTCATAATCTGAATTTATCGGCATCAATGATTGCATGGGTCTACTTGCTTAACTCTACCACAAGAATTGCTCTGTTTGAAGGTGAGTCCTCTCATGGACACCTAAGTCTCACTGTTGAGGCATGTTGAGGCTGGTCCAAGAATCTCATGTTGAGATGGCAGGAGAAAACCAGTGGAGCTATCGTTTGCCTTCTGCCACAAAAACAACGGATGCTTTTCTGGTCAACCAGTCACTAGTCAAGCACTTATCTCAACTTATCTCTGATCTTATCACTTATCTCAACTTATCTCTGATCTTCAAACACCTCATCAGGTCCTATGTCCTGTTTGTAGAGGAGAGGTTCCTACAAAAAAGACGATCATTATTTTCCTGGCTATCCTTGAATTGTCCTGCTTTTTCCTTGGGTTTCCCAATAAGAGCCTCACCCCCTTTAGCGTTCACCCCTTCTACTTTTTAGTGACACGCAGATCGCCGTTCGCCGCTCCTCGACTTTCTGGACCACGCTGCTGAAGCTCACTCGTTGTCGCTTCTCTTCCGGTACTAAGGCCTGAGCCTCAAACTCGGTTCCTAAGTTACAAAGCTGTACTGCATGTGTGCCATTGAACGAAACCTGGAACCTTAGGGTGCCTGGGTCACGTGCTGGCTAGGCTTGGACTCGACGTCGTTTAGCCCTTTCCAAAAGAAAACACTTTTAGCAGGATATGTACTTCTTCTTTGGTCGGATTTTCTTTGGTGTGGGAATGTTCCCAGCAGTGTAAGGTCCCCGGGTGTTGCTTTTCGGGTTTTGGTTGGCTTGGCTTGGTTTGCAAAAGCTGGGGGCTTTGGCCCCCAAAAGGCCAAACGAAGGGCACAAGCTACCATCAAAGTCACAAGCAAACCAAAGTGCCAAGCCACCAGAAAGCTACTAAAAGCCAAATGATAAACGATTATATAAAACGACCTAGACATCAAAACCCAATGAAATCCATAAGAAGCACCAAAAGCATGCCATCAAGACCAAAACAAACCACACGCCAACCCAAAGCCACACAAGCCACCAAAAGCCGCGAGCCGCATAATCCACCAAATGCCAACAGCCACAGAAGCTACTAATGGCTAAAGCCATGCAAATAGAATTTGAAAGTGACAGAAGCCACTAAAAAGCTAAGGACAGCCAGAAGCCAAAAGCCACCGAAGTCAGAGAAGCCTCCAACTCCCACCACAAGCTACCAAGAAAGCAGCTAAGCCCAGAGCCAAAATTAAAAAACAAAAAGCAATACAATGTTGCCGAAAATCAATTATACATCAAATAAAACATGCCCTCTCACCAGAATCACCGTCCACCTTCGTCTACCACCAAACGAATCTTCGAGCTGCCAGGCTGGACCCACAGCACATGGCACCATGCTGACCAAGACTCCAAAAATCTCTCCGTTGACCTGCCAAAGACTTCCAAGACGATCGATGCGATCGTGTGTTGTTCAGTGGTGTGTCGAAGAGACATCTGTTGATTTGTGATGGTGAATTGGAGCATGGTGATTTGTCAGGTGGTGAAGTCTAATGTGCTGAAGGCATCTGAAGGCGGAACTGTAACCTGGTGATTTGCGACAGTTGTAGGCCGACGTGTAATGCAGTGAAGTCTGCTTGTCTGATCCTACTCCGGCTCTTGATGAATCTCTCTCTCTCTCTCTATCGGTCTATCGGTCCTACTTTTCCAAACATCTCTGTCCATCTATACTGTTTGATATTTTCCCCCAGAAACCTGCACATCAACATCCACACCACTTGGCACAAACAGGCAAGCTCTGACAATGCCTCTCACAACCTCAAATTACAGTGCCGCAACACAGAACAACAGAATGGGAAACCTGGATCATCCCGGACCTCTTTCACCTTTTAAACAAGATATATATCTGTATCTGTATGACTATCTGTATGTTCATCCATCTGTCCGAACCTTCAAACATCTTCAAGCAATCCTGATCCTACACATACACCACCAAAAATCATAAAATATCATAACAACCTCAAGACCTTCCGTGCCTCAACACACAAACCCTATTCAAAGAGGAGCACACCCTGCTGATTTCTTCTGCTACAAACAACAAATAAAGTAGCCCTAACAATTCGTCCTACCGCTTGCTATGTGGCTAATTATGTGACATGCGTAAGCTGCGTATGGCATGCATATGGTGTGCGAATCAGAATGTAATGTGGCTTCGTTCGTGAACCATTGCAGAAGGAAATGCTCAAGACCAATTGGTCAACAAACTACAGACTTGATTGATGATTCGATGTCGATGATGCATGAAGGGGTTTATGAAAGCACGAAGAAGACACGACTCAACTACCTCCAGGCCAAAAGTAACCGCATAGTTATTATGGGAGTATGGAAAGCTACGCGCTAGCAGTCACAAAAGCATTCAACAACGAACGCAACTATAAGGACCAAATCTATCAACAACAAACACCAAGATGCTCAACACAAAGCAATAAGTGCCCAGATAAGGAGCAAATAGGGAACAAATAAGGACCAACATACGAGCCAAATAAGGATCGAATAATGTAGTCTAAAGAAAACGTGTTAGAGCGAACACCTAACGTTAGGCGTGAGAAACTGAGAGAGCCTTTAGTGGTCAGATGTCCACACCGGAAAGCGGCAACCGCGTAACAACCAGTAACAAAGGGCATCGCTACTAGGAGCAAGAACGCTACTAGTAGCTCCTGGCATTACTACTAGGAGCAAGGATGCATTCAGCAACTCGGAAGTTTCTCAACTCGACGTCCTGCGACAAAGTACAACACGAAGCCAACAAATGTGCTCTCCCCCGGAGCACGAATTAGATGAATGCACAGTGTATGAAGACACAAGTGAATCATGTGATGTGCATTTGTTACGTGTAACAGCTGCCGCCTTCTTGGATAGAAAGGTCTTAGAGGTGAAGGGCTGTCTCACTTCACCCCCGATGCACGCTTCCAACCTTGGGTCAAGTAGCGCACGAGCAAAGGTCGTAAAGCTCGTAGCTGTCTAGCTAACATGGCAACACACACACAAATTAAACAATTAAACACACCTGTTAAGCTTTATCAGCAACTGTTTCGTTTGAGCTTTGCGTTCTGAAACGATGCTTGGAAGCCTTCAACCCACCCTAATTAATAGTCTTACAAAGCTTCCATGCTGAGTCTTGCCCAGGAGCTTCGTGTAGTCGAAGTAGGAGTGCGCGATGCTTCTCCACTGTGATAAGGAGGTCACTAAGGTCACCTTCGCCCGGCCCTGCCAAGTTGGCAAGCATGCGGCATGTGAGGCGTGTAAATGAAATGGTGAAAGGTTAAACATGTGATGAACTATTGGCCTTCTGCTTGCTACTGCCGCTACTGCAGACCTCTCCTGCCTTCAGGGTGGGCAAAGAAAGGCAGCTTGAGCAGTGGACCTTCTGCCACGCATAGTACAACAAGCAGAATCGCTGGGGTGGTTTGTAGAGGAACACATCGCCAAAAATGTCCGGGTAGTGCTCCTGTGCAGCATGTCAGATTCAATGGAGCACTGCAAGCTACTGTAAGTACTCAGATCCATGTCTTGGGGCCGTCTGGCTTACTAAATTCCACTTGTAACTGCAAGGGCTGTCCATTCGAGCGTGATCAAACATCACCTTGACACCCGAAACTACACAGCTGGCACATCTTCGGACAGAATACGATGCCCATGGCTCATGGGCTTTGCTGGTCGTCAAAGCCGGTCTTGGACGCAGAAGAGGAATGCATTCTTGTCAAACAACTGACTGAACTGCAACACTGCACCGCTTCTCCTGAAAAATTCGCAAGGCCGCCAGTAAGGTCTTCATCGGTGGCCTGCCACGCTTCGTTGATCTTAAGCGCTTCAGCGTGTGTCAGGAACGCATAGCCACATAGAAAACCCATGTATGAGTACACCACATGAGATTTGTCCTTTCCATCCCTTTCCTACCTTTTCCTCGTGCCACTGAAGCACTTACAACAGTTTAGTTTACTCAACGTGTCGAACACGCAGTGCAACATGGTATCCCCATGAAGGGCGGCACCTATTTCCTGTCGCATAACCTGAGCCGAGGGCACATGGACTTCATACGAGCATTTTCAACTGCTCACACAGTGCAAGGGATTCTGGATGAATAACCATAGTAGCGTTCTTGCTCCTAGCAGCGATGCCAGGAGCCCCTAGTAGCGCCCTTGCCCCTAGTAGCGATGCCAGGAGCCCCTAGTAGCGTCCTTGCTCCTAATATGGGTTTGATGAGTTCCCCTGTCATCCTCAAGAACCAAAATAATGCTGATCATCCTTCATGTCAAACAGCCACCAGCTCAAGTTCTGCTAGACACTTCGTCCCTCATGATACTCTCAAACAATCTGACACATGTGACACATGTCTATGCGGAATCCAGAACTTGTGCAATTTTCTTTCAAGTGCAGTGGCATGAAGCATATGGGTGCGTCCCTTCCTTCTGTGAAATTGCAGTCTTTCTCAGGCATTCTGGCTTTCTGAAGAGCATCATCAAACACACACGTCGGGAGTCGGGATGCGAAAGTTGTGCACCATTCCCTGGCGATTCTTAGTGGATTCCCAAGCCTAAGGAAACAAAAGAAACGAGAGAATCTACTAACAATGGCCTCCATCCTAATTTCGCTCCTAAATGAAGCAGGATGTTTCCCTCTAGCGTCGACTGATGCTCTCCTTCTCCTTTCCAGCTTGCTTTACAGTGGCGCTGGAAGAACACTTGAGTCCAGGAGGATTCCAGTACAGTAGTGTCGTGCATGTTTTTGGAACTTCTCTTTTTGTTCCAATCAGGTTGGGCAACACACTCATCCGTGTCTCACTCGTCATGGATGGTTGCGCGCATGGTAGTGAGGAGTACTTAGGACCAAACCTTTAAAATTTCCCCTGGAGAATAAACAAAATCTCTTGTTCACAAATTGCAGGGTATCGCAGCAAACTGGCTGCTACTATGCCAAGCCACCCGTGAAATCAACAATCACGGTGGCACAGTCTACCGCAGCCTTGCCGTCAGGCTCCTGAGCAAGCAAGGCCTTGCAATTCCGTGTCCTTGACTCTTCCTCATTCAGACATGTTTGTTTAACTCATGACTCATTTTATCTCATTTCTGTACATTCAGGCGGCGCCAAACCCAAAGGCTCTGTGTCTTTTTGGGAGCCGTTCTAGAAAGGTCACAAGCCGATATTCATGTTCTTTCTGCTCCTCCTTTTCGTGATTTGCCTTCAGCACTGCCACCAATCGTTCCATCACATAGATGACCTCGGCTGGTGACTTGTCCCATTGACTCATTACTTGTTGACAGCGCCGAGCAACATAGTTCAACGTCTCTTGGTAGTGGCCACTGTCCTCAGCACGGCTACTCACTGCAAACGTGCTAATAACTTAGTAACGATTTTCGAAAGCGCCTCAGAAGCACAATAATGATGAAGGAGTGTTCAGTGGGCAGCCCTTATTCCATTGGCACCTAATAAACAGATCGGAATCTGTCAAACCATCCTGAGGTCAAGAGTGAACAGAACCAACATTACCTCCCTGAAGTGCTTGCAGTTCAAGCAAACACTGCCGAAAGGAAGGAAGAATCCGAAGTGTAGGGTGAGATCGAGAGCTGCTCAGGCAAAGTCGCTTCATGATGAAACTTCACGTAAACAATGGGACGACCACGCAAATCGAAGCCTCACAACATGTAGACAAACATAATTAGATCTGCATTCAATAGACAGACGTTGCAGTTTTTGAATTCGAGCGCGCCTCTTACATAGAAGCGGCAAAGTGCGCACTCCCGCACGATCGCGGCAGAGCAACGTCCAGTCTCAGCCTCTCCCAGGGCTGGAAGATGCTCCTGATGCGTGGTGTAGGTGCCGAAGGGATCAGTTGCATTGATGTGTGTGTGTGTGCGATTCTTCTCTGAACAGTTTGCGGGCCAATCACAAAAACGAATAATTGAGTATTAAAGTAAATAAAACCATTGTGTACAGTATATACAAACATATGTGATCCTCCTACAATGACTGCTTGCGGGGATATTCTTATTTGGTAAAAACAATGTTTTGCACAATGAAATATCGACAGAAACACATCTATAGAATGCAAAACGTACCTTTATCTATAAAATGACTATGTCTTTACATCCGTCCTTGTCCAAAGAAAATGGAGATTGCTCCAAGGGCTTTGCATGTTTGATGTTTCTAAAATGAGAAACCACAAATGTGAAATTAAATTTGTAAATATAGCCCCTAAACTGAACCTGGCTTAAGGCATCTTAAAGAGGAAAAGATGTTGCAGTCTATAAAGACTCATTGACGGGTGACTATATATATATGTGTGTGTGTGCAGGTTGCGGTTAAGGTCACAATATGTGAAACATCCATGCACCAAGGCAACCTTGCTTTGCATGTGTTTGATGTTGGGTGGATCTCGGCTCCCAAAGGGCCCTTGCGCCGCATTAGACGGCTATGCAGTGGTGCGATGGAAAAGGTTCGCAGGTGAGGACTTGCAGGGTTCTTTCAGTGACACTTTCAGTGTTTGGTACGTTTATCTAGCTGTTTCACGTGATCACAGATCATAGCATTGAACCTAGCTACCAGCTTCGCAATATGCATGTTATGGCTCACATTCGCAAAGCTGTCCTTCCGCCAACGTGCTGTCGCACAAATAGCGTCAGCGGCCTGAGCAAGAAAGAGTTGAACTGTGCATCTGTCAGCAGAGGTGAGCTCCGTGAGCTTTGCAAACATCGTTGTCAAAGTGCAAATGCTCTCCGTAGCTAGCTGACCTATTTGCTACTAGTAGGGGCCCTACTAGGTGGAGGCCATTCCCATTGGTAGCAAGAAGCTAGTAGTAGCTGACCTAGCAGCTGACCTAGCTGCTAGCTGTGACTGATTGGCATTGCCACTTTGTGGCCGAAATGCCTTGTCGACATCCCAGTCGTGCACTTGCAAGTAGCGAAGTAGAATGGAAACTTCGATGAAGTAGTCTTTGAACTCCTGCCACGCTCGACTTTGTCATTTGATAGAATTTTTTTTCTTTGTGGTTTTTGCATTTTGCGTGTTTTGCTTTGTCCCGTCTCTTGATCGGTTCTTGGAAGAAATCAGGAAGAAATCCTCATGCAGTGTGGCTGGTGCCTGAGTCCTCCTGTGCTATTTTTTGTTGGTTGACACTTACCTGCTCACTTCTTTTGGAAGTGAAAATCAAAAAAAATATCAAGAAAAAACTGAACCTGGGGCCTGAGGTGAGGGGAACCCTTATTAAGGAACTTGAGGAACGTTATCGATTTTGAAAAAAAACATCCTGAAGTCCAGATGACAGCTGCTTGGCGAGCTGTCGTAGCCAATGGCGCTTCTGAGCACCGAGCCGCAGCACACGCCTCAGCCGGAGTAATCGAACACGTCGGTCTTGGACTTGCATACTACTGGAATCTGTTTTATAATTATAGAGAACTCACTATTAGCCTCCAACCTGCTGGCGATGGCCTCCACCCTAGTAGCGATGGTCTCCAACCTTGTAGCGATGGCCTCCGACCTACTAGCGATGGCCTCCGACCTACTAGCAATGGCCTCCAACCTACTAGCGATGGCCCCCACCCTAGTAGCGATGGTCTCCAACCTTGTAGCGATGGCCTCCGACCTGCTAGCGATGGCCTCCAACCTACTAGCAATGGCCTCCAACCGGCTAGTGATGGCCTCCAACCTACTAGCGATGGCCTGGCTTCCAACCTGCTAGCGATGGCCTCCACCCTAGTAGCGATGGCCTCCGCCCTAGTAGCGATGGCCTGCAACCTACTAGCGATGGCCTCCACCCCAATAGCGATGGCCTCCAACCTAAAAGCGATGGCCTCCAGCCTACTAGCAATGGCCTCCAACCTACAAGCGATGGCCTCCAACCTACTGATGGCCTCCAACCTGGAAGCGATGGCCTCCATACTACTGGAATCTGTTTATACGGAACTCATTTTGAAGGCCAAAGCAAACACGTTGCGTCTCTTTCTCTTCTTTGGACCTTTCCTCTCTCTACTTCTGGCCTGGTATCTTCAAAACCTTGAAGCCATGGAACTGGCATCTTTGTTCTGAGGCGAATTTACTTTGCCAGGGAACTGTTGCCGTGAACTGTTCGCCAAGAGGCCAGTGGCGGTAAACATGGAGAAACTCCATGTAATCGTCGGGCGTGTTGAGATCCTGGGGGCTCATGCGGAGTTGCTCCGAATACTCCAGACCTTGGTTAAACGATGGCATTGCAACGCAGAGTGCTACAACCAATGTGTCATGGTACTCTCTCTGTCTCTCCCTCCCTCTCTCTCTCTCGTTAACCCGATTGAAAACCACTCGCGACCAAGTAGCCAAAGACACCATGCCCGCTGTGCGTGCTTAAAAAAATGTGAGAGCAAAACGGCTCTTCGTCACCTGAGTTACTGTTATTGTGAAGGACATCGGCGCGTCCGTCCACAGATTGACATGCAAGTCTTACTGAATTCTAGTGTGTCCCTTGAAAAAGGAAGTTTCTGTGGGACATCTAGAATCTAGAGGATTGCTGCTAGCTGAGGCCAAGTCACAACCGCCAAAGGACTTTTCCAAGGCATTAAGGTCAAAGTGTTGCGCCATCACATCGGATGTTTCCTCATAGCATTTGCTCCTAGTAGCGATGGTCCTTGCTCCTAGCATGCGTATGTTCCACCCATGTTCCATCGAATTTGAATAACTTGCTATTGAATTGCATTGGGAAAGCAAGGTGAGCAACTAAGGTTATGACGAATTACACGAGCCAAAGGGCCGATCTCGAGGATTTTCTTAGGGTTTTTTTTCAGGACATGTCTTGCGCATGACATGGATTGATGGTTTGATGCTCCAAGGTTTCCTTTAAAAAACTGTTTATTATACTGACCTGTTCATGCTTTTAATGGATTGATGGTTGGAAGGATCTGGGCTGCCATCGGAATCCATACTGGACTCCAGCAAGTGGCGGAAGGAGGGAATAAAAAACATAAACATCATTGAACAAAAAACGTAACAGGTTTTCCAGCAAACATAAGTAATTATGGATTCATAACTATGTCACGTCATTAAAAAAATATGTTGACATGGCTGCCTGTGGCTCGCCAGCACGTCTTAACTCTAAGGTGCTTGAAGAAATACATAAAGATCGTTCTGAAGTGCATCCAGAGAAGTATGTTCCGGTTTTGAAATCCGGCTTAGCAGCGACAAAGTTGAACTTTGCCAGGGTCACCTTAACGGAGACTTATGCCGATTCGGGTGAAGTGGCACAGATTCGTGAAACAAAAGAAAGAGAGTGAAACAAAATGAAACGAACATCACAACTTCTTTTGTGAAGAGAAACTCACATTCAGCCCAAATCGACCTGCACCAAGACACTGGGTCCAAGAAAGCGCTTGCTGCAGTGAAAAAGCTGTGCAAAAGCCAAGGTGTGTTCACAAAGAAAGCCAAACCAAGTCGTTCAGGATAGTGATCCTCCAACGACGCAATCCGCTGCGGTTCAACATGGTTTAACATGGTTCAACCTTCATGCTTAGCTCCCTGGCTTCCCCTCTGTCCAACATGTTGAGATCATCAGGACTTGGTGGAAACATGTGGCAATGCAAAATTAAAGAAGAGCCTCAATCATGGAACAAATAAACCACACGCACATGTTAATTCCCGAAGGCATTGCGAAGGGTTCTTCCGGAAAATCCTTTGAACACTTACACTTCGACACTTACACTTACACACACACACACTGGAAGAGCGAACGCATCCAAGTGCGAAGTATGCCAGTGTCAAAGTATGCAAGTGTAAGTATGCAAGCATGATATGCAAGGGTAAGTATGCAAGCATGATATGCAAGGGTGAGTATGCAAGCACGCAATGAGTATACAAGCATGCAATGAGTAGGCAAGTGTGAGTATGGAAAACTAGCACGGGAGATGTCCTAATGAAAAAACATTTCCCCACTTTATAAATTCTCTCTTAAAGGCGGAGTGCGGGACGAACAGCGTCAACCGAAAGTGCAACCCTCTGCGGAGATCGTGCGTGTCGAGTGCGCGAAATGCAGGCGAGAGTGCGATTTGTCCGGTGTGCGCGCAACCCTCTGCGGAGATCGTGCGTGTCGAGTCCGCGAAATGCAGGCGAGAGTGCGATTTGCCGGGTGTGCGCGCAACCCTCTGCGGAGATCGTGCGTGTCGAGTCCGCGAAATGCAGGCGAGAGTGCGATTTGCCGGGTGTGCGCGCAACCCTCTGCGGAGATCGTGCGTGTCGAGTGCGCGAAATGCAGGGGAGAGTGCGATTTGTAGAACTAGCGACTTTGTAGTACAACTTTAGTACGCGGAGCAATCTGTGGAGCTGGAAGCTGAGAACTGGCGACTTTGTAGTACAACTTTAGTACGCGGAGTATCTGCGGAGCTGGAAGATGAGAACTGGCGACTTTGTAGTACAACTTTAGTACGCGGAGTATCTGGGGAGCTGGAAGATGAGAACTGGCGACTTTGTAGTACAACTTTAGTACGCGGAGCAATCTGTGGAGCTGGAAGCTGAGAACTGGCGACTTTGCAGTACAACTTTAGTACGCGGATGAGTCATCTCTCGCGGCTGAGTCATCTCTCGCAGCTGCTCTGGCGCCCCTGCAGCTGAGTCATGTCTCCCAACCACCCGGCTCTCTTGAGAGGTTGACACACACAAACAGAGACCCACGCACTGCCTCAACTTACTCGGAGACACACACAGACAGAGACTCATACACACACAGACATAGATACGCACACACAGAGACCCACACACTGCCTCAACTCACTCGACTTAACACTTCACACTGAACACTTATAACAGGCAGTGGAAGCCAGCTTGCTGGCTGCCATTGTCCAGATGGAAAGCCAGCACGCTGGCTACCATCATAGTTGAAGTGGGTAAGCCAGC